AAGTTCCTGTGAGGGGTAAGTTTGTTTCCATTGATTCCCACACCCAATTACTGATTCGCTTGAGAAATGTGCGTAGACGCCAGTTTCAGAGGACTGGAGATCCAGCGAGGAAACGTGAAATGGCCGATCTGAACAGGCAGATTGCTTCCAGAATGGACTCACTCCGAAATGAAAGTTTCGGGCGTGTTGTCCAGAATCTGGATGACCGCTCCCGTCCATTCTGGAAGGTAGCCAAGGTGCTGAAAACTCATCCCAAACCCGTTCCACCTCTCAGAGTCGAAAATGATGACGATCGGCTTTTAATCACCCCACAGGAGAAAGCAAATGCGATCGGCGAGCATGTCGCTTCATCGCATTTGCTTGGCTCGTCTATCCAAAGTCCGCTCGAAGATCAGGTTGCGCAATGCGTTCAAAACCTAGATGCCTCCCCTTGTGTCGTGCCTCCGGTGGATATGATTACAGTACAACAAATTTGCTCAGCGCTTAAATGCACCAAGAACATGAAGGCCCCCGGGTTTGACGGCATATTCAACTTGATCTTGAAGAGACTCAGCATGAAAGTGCAGTCTCTTCTAACCGCTATCTTCAACAGATGTTTGGAACTGCACTACTTTCCAAACATCTGGAAAGTAGCAAAAATCATACCAATCCGCAAACCCGGTAAGGATCCAACATTGTCTTCAAGCTACAGACCAATCAGCCTCCTTTCAGCGCTGAGCAAATTGTTCGAGAAACTCATTCTCAATCGTTTGCTCAAGTTTGTGGAGGAAAGCAACATTCTCCTTCCGGAACAGTTTGGATTCAGAAAGGGGCACTCTACCAATCATCAGCTAGTACGGGTGATGAATAACATCCGAAGTAACAAAGCTGTATCCAAGTCCACAGCCATGGCCTTGTTAGACGTTGAAAAGGCGTTTGACAATGTTTGGCATGACGGACTTGTGTACAAGCTTTGTAACTTCAACTTCCCATTACATCTGGTTAAAATCACCCGAAACTACCTCCAGCAAAGGTCGTTTAAGGTATCGTTGAATGGTTGTCTTTCAGACACGTTTTCCATCCCAGCAGGAGTCCCGCAAGGCAGTCTGCTGGGCCCCTTGCTTTACAGCATTTACACTTCCGACATTCCTCCCCTCGGTGACGGTTGCGTGTTTTTCCTGTTCGCAGATGATACCGCAATAGCCGTCAAAGGAAGGATGCCTCGCGAAATAACGAACAAACTTCAACGATGCCTTAACGCCTTTGCTGATTATGCCACCATGTGGAAAATCAAAATCAATGCCTCCAAAACACAAGCGATCATGTTCCTCCATCGGCAATCGCCCAAACTGAAACCGGCTCCATCTTGTACTGTAATCATGGATGGCACAAGGGTTGAGTGGTCCGCCGAAGTAACCTATCTCGGGATGTTGTTTGATGAAAAGCTCCTCTTCCGTTCGCATGTAGAGAAAACAGTAGTCAAGTGTTCTGCCTTGGTTAGGTGTCTGTATCCGCTGATTTGCCGCAGATCTCGCCTCTCAAGGGTAAACAAACTGGCCGTCTACAAACAAATCATAGCACCTGCGATCCTCTACGCAGCTCCGGTGTGGGAATCATGTGCACAGACTCACAGGAACAAAATTCAGGTCGCACAAAATAGAGTGCTGAGGATGGTTCTTGATCGTCCTTTCGACACTAGAATAACAAATTTACACGAAGAGGCAGGAATTGCCAAAATAGATTCAAGAATTAACGAAATTAAGACTAAATTTGCAGAAAAATGTAATTTATCAGAACATGCTTTGATAAGCAACTTGTATATAGTAGGTTAGGTGCATATAGTAGTTGTAGGTTAGTTGTAGTTGTAAATAGTAGTTATAAGTAGTCTCCTTTTTCCAATTCAAATCAAACCAATCCCACCAAGGTGGTCATACTTTAAAATAGGCCTGATAGGACTAGTAACTGTAAATAATAATTAATATCTCAAATGAACTAAAGTTGAAAAGACGCATCTGTGTCACTTGAAAAAATTCATAAATGTAAACCACACAAACACAAGAAATAAAGATCATTTTAAGTCAGTAAAAAAAGTCACAGTGAATTTATCCTCATTCTGTATCAGCAAACGGTGAACGAAATAAAGACTGCGTAAGGCAATTTATTTCCGTAAAACTACTTTTTGAAAGCTGATCCGAAACTGGAAGAAGTCATTTCTCTTACGTTGAGAACCTTGTGGTGAGTATACTGGTTATGGTAGTGGTGACGACCCCATTGGTTTCTCACTACATAATCAGAAAGGTGCTGTCTCTGCCAACACGTTACAACTGATAAGCTAAACGTGAACAACTCTTCATCATAAAAATACAAATTTTAATTCTATCAATTGATATTATGTAAGAAGGGATCATCCGTCTCCCTCTCAGATAATATTTTGTAAGATTTTACAAGACTCTCCCTCCTCCCTTTTTGCTTATGCAATTAGTGTACGGCCCCTTACCGAAAATAGGTAATAATGGCCCTAAATCCATTTCCGAAATACATACCTGTTTTACGTGGCTCAAAATACCGGTATTTTCGGTAATAAGTCACAAACTTTAAAAAAGTTACAAAACATAAAACTGAAACTCTATTTTCCGTACCCAACTTTGATCTGTACCGACTAGTAAGTCGAACATAGCAAGCATAACATTTGATAACGGCACAAAAGCATTTGTAAACAAACTTTCTAAGGCCCTTTACACGCGAATCAAAGTACGCCCACGCAAACCAACAACATCTTCGGATAGGGGCAACTATCACCTGTCCGAAAGTGGTATTGGTTTGCGTGGGTTTACTTTGATTCGCGTGTAAAGGGTCTTAGAAAGTTAGTTTACAAATGCTTTTGTGCCGTTATCAAATGTTATGCCTGATAGGGCAGTAAGACTTAACCCACTGATCTATACCCAAAACGGGTTATAGTACTGGTCACATAAGTAACATGTTCATGGACACAGACACCTCTAATAGCGAGGCAAACGATTGCTTGAGTGTTCAATGCATATCCATATGGTCCTGAATAACAAGTGAAGAACGAGTGATTCAAGAAAATAACTTGTTGTTATTAATTCGATGAATTTGCAATAACATGCCATAAATACCTTTTTTCTAATAGAACTTTTTTTTTACATTTCAAAATAGTGTAATTCATAAGACTTCTATAACGCATATTTTTGTATAGAAAATGGCAAAACACGCAACCAATCAACCTGACCCTATTAACTCATTTATGAATTGGTTCTAACCAAACTTTCACGACTTTGTAGTACAAAGTTGAAAAAGAAGTTGATATTGTGTCCTGGTTTGCCACGTTCTCACCTATATGCTGTTAAAATAGGGAAAAATAAAGTTACACCCTTGCAAGGAATGCACTAAAACATGTAGTTGTACATTGTTTAAATTTGTCCAGAACATTATTAGCTTGAACAGTTATTATATAAAAAGTTAAACATTTAAATAAATGTAGAATGGGTACCATAGAAAACGGTCTACATCTTCAAAACAATTAGAGATTAAAAATTTGTATTTTCAACAAAGTATCCTTCTATCTTTTTAGGGAAAAAAGTTAGGGTTTTAACTTTTTTCATAGTAGGCCATGAAACATTCTTCATATTGTAGGATTGTGGGCAAAAGCATCGTGAACAATTCCTCTGAAGACACTTATTTTCATGAATAAGCAATTCAATTAAGTTCATAATTTTGACTTCTCCGACCACTGTGCACTCCGTCCCCCTTAATCATTCGTCGGCCCCCGTCAGCACACAGCGTCGACCGAGACACCATGTTACCCTCCGAAAACGTTACCACTGCCCGTATGGTAGGAATAAATTGCTTTGTAAAATGTAATAGATCCTAAAACAGCAAAAAAAGGTTATCTTCCATTTAATTCCACTTAATTAATTTTGGTATCCATGACAGATACGTATTTCGACTAAAATGTGCAGTCTTCATCAGTGTCATAGTTTTTGAAAAGTTCTTTAGTGGGAATGACACTGATGAAGACTGCACATTGTAGTCGAAATACGTATCTGTCATGGATACCAAAATTAATTAAGTGGAATTAAATGGAAGATAACCTTTTTTGCTGTTTTATTTAAGCATTCCGCTAACAACCCAATTTCATTACTTCATAATAGATCCTATTATTTATAAGGTCATCCCGATCCGAATACTCCCCCAGGGTATCAAAACCCTGAGAGCTATCAACAATACAGGAATCCAGCGAATAGGTGGGTGGTACCGCAATTTCTCATTTGTTCTGCAATTGAGCTGATTTTTTGCATGTGATTAGCGTTAACAATAAACTTGTCACTTACAGAAAATTAGCTTGATTGGCATGCAACAATTGTCATGATAAATTCTCTCTGCAACATAGCTTGATCGGAACAACCTAGCAGAAAACACACGTCGTAGATGATACAAGTAAATCAATGGGGAAATTTTTGTATGTCATTCCACCGTTCCAAACAAGCTATGTCATGAGCTGCGGTTGTTCTAGACAAACTTTCAAACAATTTTATTTTTGGTGCTTTCTTATCACCCATTATTATTTGGCTCGTATGTCGTATGTATGTAGTCATCATAAAGACATTTTTGATTCCCTACTCCCCCGTACTGAAAGCCCTGGGGCCCGGGAGTAAAAGAGGCTTACGGTACCCACCCCATGAATTGCAGTTGGTTAAGACCAGCAGCTCGGGGCTAGTCAAGTCCTCTTCAGGGACTCTGTTGTCTCCCGGGGTCAATTGCAGTTTCAAAAGTGAGCCCATGCTCAATGGTATGTGCATATCTTTAGACAGTTCCGAATGATAATTATTTAGGACTTATTTTTACAATAGATCTTAGAAAGGGTCGCAGTGATGAATATACACAACACGAAATAACACAAATGAATTTATAAGTCTATTTATATTAGTACAGATTTGAACTTTGGAAATCGATGGTGTTAAAAAATAGACTGAACAAATGAAAAGCTGTATGGTTATTACCTTCATTAAAGAGCTCACGATAAGCGTAGTAGCTACTCCGATACCGAACATCAGCACGTATGGCAGGAACTTCATCGATAATCCTTGGCGCTTCTTCAATAGGGCCGTCAGGAAGGATAGCTTGCTATCCGAATATGGTGGATACCGAGAGCTGCAAAGAATGGAGTATTTAAGTAACACTAATCACATCATTTTGGCAAATAGTGGAGCTCTTACGAGGCCAGCTTCTCGCCTATCGGATTGAAGTCCTTTGCCAAGCACGACTTTCTGTGGACGAACGTATCGAACGAGTACTTTCCGTGATAGGCACCCATTCCACTTGGTCCAACACCTCCGAACGGTAGTGTTTCAACTGTTGTTTGAGTCGAAAAAGTAAAAGGGTTAGTAAATAGCTTCAGCAAAAATTCTGTTAAATCGAAATTGTTATTTTTTTTAAACCAGACGCCAATTAGAAACAAACAGTACTACGATACTATAACTATTTAAGATTAGTTCCAACCTGACATGTGTACCAAGGTATCGTTGATACAGATTCCACCGCACGAGGTGTTAGAAATTATTGTTTTTGTGTCAGTTTTGTTGTTGCTAAAGATGTACATCGACAGTGCCTTTTCTCTGGCAGGTGTTCGAAGGAGAGACTTTTGTTAGTGTTGATTGAATAAATTTGAAATTTAAACATTCATAAGTGTGGTGAGTGGTGAAGTTGTAGATGAATACTACGGCAACTATCAATCATAGTATATGTATAATGCAAAAACTATGGATGAATGACACACAACCAGAATTGCAGTGTAATGTAATGGTCTTCGAATCAAAAATTAGAAATGTAGGGATAATGGTATCAACACCGAAAACCATAGGAAGAATAGTGAACAACGAATCAAACCTGCAAAATGCATCATCGTGTCGTTAACGCAAACTCCACCGCTTACGGTATTCTGTATGATAGTGTCTCTATCGACATTAACCTGGCTGAAGATGTACATGACCAAGGGTTTGTCTCTAGCAGAGTAAACAACAAGTTATTACATTCCGAACTTATATCGTCTAGCATAGTATTTCTAACGTGGAATAATGAAAACGCTGGGTTTCGATAAACGATACTAATTTGGTATCATCAAGTTATTGTGATCGTTCAAGAAAGGACTACAAAGTTAATCAATTTTAGCTGAGTTATTTGACGTCTGAAAATTGCTATTGCAATACTTTAGTAGTCTAGAATGTGAAGGAAATTGAATATTTATTATGATAAAAAGTATACCAAGTATCATGTTGTTGGCAGATACCTGTTGAGCTAATTCCAAATTCGTGATTATTTCACATTCTAGACCACTTTGCTATAGAAGTTGTTAATGTTTTTTAGGAAAACCTCTAACCTGCACAGTGCATCATAGTGTCGTTGATACAGACTCCACCACTAGAAGTATTAGCAACCAGTGCTTTTTGATCCGTACTATTTTTACTAAAGATGTACAGAGCTAAGGGTTTATTTCTACCAAGGTTATAAGGAAGAAAGCATAAAGATAAGGGTTAACTCTACAGAAAGATACCAGTACCAAGTGTTTTAAAAGATAGAATATACAATAGGATGATGATGAAACGAAACAGATACTGCACGTCCCCATGAGTGGTCAGTTCTTTAAATTATGCAAAAATTCCTCACAAAGAAGGCAACACAAATTTGTTAAACGATATTTCCAGAAACCGTCATGGACAAATTTCAACATCATATCCATCAATTGTTCCAGCACCAGTAAGGCATATGATAAATACTCATCAATTGCGTTCCTACAAGAACACTCAACCAAACCAAACCATCTCCCGTCACCAAGTGTATTTTGAACAACCGAACGGAATGATTGCTGGAAGCATCTTACCGGCGTACTGCATGATGGTATCATTGAGGCACATACTACCCGACCTCGTACCATGAATGAAGAGATCTTGGAGTTTTTTGTCTTGCGTGAAGATGTACATGACAAGAGCGGGTGATCTGACAATTTTGAACACATCGAAACCAATTGTTGATGGACGCATTTTGTGTTGGTGGATGGAATGATACGTAGAAAATAACAAAACAAATACCAATGAATCGAATAAATCAAATACTACCATATCGTTTGATATAATGTGGCAATGCTTTGTTTCCGACGATACAAAAGCACCAGATTGATTGATGCGTGCATCGGAATATGGTCGACATATAACTGGATTATCGGATAATTACCTCGAATTGATAAAATGGATGGCATCGTACGCATTATCAACATTGATGATGGGTAAAATAGGACCAAAAATTTCATCCTGCATTACGGGGTCATCCGGGTTGACATCGACGAGAATCGTTGGAGCTATATATTTCTCCTGGGAGTCTGTTTCTCCACCAATTGCTACATTTGCTCCCTTGATCATGGCACTCAAACGTCTAATGAAAAGTTAGTATTAATTAGTAAGACAGAGACAGCGATGGCGCCAGATGGCTACTCACTGAAAATGTGACTGGTTGACGATTCGACACAGATCAGGACTGTCCTTTGGATTTGCACCATACCATTCTTTCAGAATGTTTTTAGCCTCTTCCAGGAATTGCTTCTGAACCTGTTTCGTACATAGCAAGTAGTCCGGGGCAATACAGGTCTGCCCGGCATTGATGAACTTGCCCCACAGAATTCGTTTCGTCGCGATTGGAATGTCCGCTGTGCTGTCGATATAGCAGGGACTTTTGCCACCCAACTCCAAGGTGCATGGTGTCAGATTTTCATTGCATGCCTGATGCACGATCCTTCCTACTCGACCGGAACCGGTGTAGAAAACGTAGTCAAACTTCTGTCTCAACAGCTCCGACGTTTCTTTTGCGCCGCCTTCTAGCACACGAAAGCATTCCTATATATCGAAGAGATAGAAGCATTATAAGAAATTGCAATATTTATCACTCGATCAGTTAACGTGTGTGTTGATGTGGGAAAAAGTGAAAGAGATTGCTCGCAATGTTGTAAACGTAATTGCAGACATGAAGCGTTATGCAATCCATTATTGGTGCTCGACTAGCGACTTGCTGGGTTACTTGGTCGGTGGAACTGCAGCATGGGTGATACTGCAGTCAGTTACGGGTATAATCAGGTTTCTAAAACGCAATGTTTCAATCGAGGGAATTACGTTACGAGGTAGTTCTGAGCTATTGAAGTGGAAATGTGGAGACTGCCTATTTTAGCAATAGGTTACGTTACTCTACAAGTTTGCAACTTGTTGATGGAATTTGGACGAGTCCATGAATTCCGGTTTGGCACTATTGGAAAATTCTAAATGTCAAACAATCATCGTTACGGGAAATTTCAATATCGACATTGAAAAGAAGAGAATATCGAATTTATGAAGAATTTATGCAATTTATGAATCTCATATCGGACTCCAAACAGTCGACCACCTGGGACCACTATTACGAACTTTTCGTACCACTGCCCCTTGCTCGCCTTGTTTCATTTACTTTCTTTCATAGTCGCTGATGATGCAGCGGCCGTAGGATACTATCATTTTGAACTGGATGTTTAAGTATCATTATCCAAAAACAACACCATCTTGCCATACCGTTCTTTCCAGAACTCCTCTTCAGGGCCACCATAAATTTCAAAGAAAGTGTTATCCAAAGACAGAGTTAACCTAAATGTAAACATAATTTCACATGAACTGAAAAAGAATGACATTAGAAATACATGAGACAATAGATTCTACACACCGAAAAAACTATGATAATTACGAAAAACCTTATAGGAATCTTGCATGAAATGTTGTTTTACTCAAAATAGTTTACATTTAGTAATGTAGTCCTACGTCAACAGTTCATACAACCCTATAGGGCTGTCCTTTGTAGTTTTTCTTTTAATTTTGAGTTATTCTTGGCATTTTAATAAATGATTCCATAATTTATCATTCAGCATTTACAGTCCTAAAGCTGAAATAAACCCCCGAAATAGTTATGAAAAAGCCATTGAAAATGCAAATGAAAGTGAACTCCACACTTAGATTTTTTACCGAGATTGGCACCACCGAGTAGCATGGCAATATCAGTGAAAAACTTGCCGAGAATTTTACTGAGATTCCAGCTAACAAACGGAAATTTTGCCGAGAGCTCAGTAAAAATAAATGCCAAGCTGGTCGCCGATGCCAATCTCGGCATAAAATAAAACTTAGTATGTGGTGAGTTTGACCCCACCGGTTCGATTTTTACAATTCTCTCTAGTTTATTAGCACCATTTGGGAGCAGTGCTGCTGATTAGTAGTTCAATTGAAAATAATTGTCGTACAATGTCGACGTCAGCAATGTATTCTTTGATTTACATAGTAGCGCCGGTGGTATAGTGGAAAGTGTGGCTGCATCTCACTGAAACCTGGGTTCAATGCCAGTCGGCGCCGTCGGGATTTTCTGTGGCATAAAATCTCTGATCACGGAAGTAAAACCGTTGCTTCTCGGTCCATGAGTTGATTGGCCGATAGTTTTTTTTTTGTCTTTATTAGAGAGATTTTTAGCCGTTGGCTAGTTCATCTCTATGAAATAGAGGGTCCCAGAGGGGAGGTTCACGAAGATCTAGAAGAAAATACCTCACAGTATTGCTTCATGAAATTGTTCAAGTGGTAGAAAATGCTATTTTAAACTGTATTTCAATACTGTGATAAATTCACGAACGCATAGGTTGTATCTCGCCGATGTTTCAATGGATTTATAAAATGTTAAATGTGTTGCAAAGTAAATTTTGTGGACTTTAAGATAAAACCATTCACAAAATTGGTAGGTGACTGATCTTTTGTCGGGAGAGGTTATTGTAAAAATGCGCCATGAAATGGGATATTTTGAAGTAAGAGATATTTATACCTCGGGATCCTTATCATATACGATCTTCCATCCTTCAGTAAAGTCGTTTAGATCTTTAAAAATATGGATTACAGAATCAACACACTAGATGCCACTAATACGTTTTAGACAAGTGGTACTCATCCCCTTTTTTAAATGGCTGTATCGTTGTTGGATGGTCATATTTTAAGTTGAGTTTTGTGTTTTTCCCCATTTGTTGCATCATAGAGATCCAAGTACCACTTTGGCTATCACTGTTTTAGACCAGCACCCTTCCAGATCCAGTGTTATCACGAAACAATTTTAAAAAGAAATCAACCGGGAAGCGGTTGTATAGTATGTGTCTGACACATAAAACCTGTAAATATTGCTTTCAGAGCGTCACAATCAGCGATTTTACGATTCATGAGCACTCACGAATCGTAAAATCACAAATTGTGACGCTCTGAATGCGAAATTGACCGGTTTTATGAGTCAAATACATACTTTAAAACCGCTACTTGTAACTTACAAGTACAACATATCATTATAATGTCTAATGATTTCATAATTCCGACAAAAAAAACATTTTTATGCCAACTGCCTCGAGCAAGCCACGAGTAATCGGCCCTCGTTCCACTAACACGAACTTTAAGAAAACTTTGTCAAACAAAAATTGAACTTCGGCTCCGTAAAGCTAATGTGAATGAGCCTTGGTAAATAAGCGAATTAGAAAAAAATGTGTTAAACACATACTTCCAACTTCTTTTTGTAACTTATAAGTGTAAAATCATTCCTCGTCGAACGTTCGACAGAGCAAGTTTGCTTATACCCCGTTCACATTACAGTGTATATCACGTGATATACGCTGTCTTGCAATGAGCACTCATACATCTAGTTTTCAATGGAAATCCTATGTATGAGTGCTCATTGCAAGACAGCCTATATTACGTGATATAGGCTGTAATGTGAACGGGGTATTACGCTACTCTCCCGCCGCCGCAAAAGTGTTTTTCGGAAAAAAGTGAATTTTTTTTTTCTCTCCCCGATCGGAGTTTTTTTTATACACCTTCTGGTGTGCAGTGCCACAGGCGGACATAAACGTTCCCCGGAGGAAGCAACCATCTCAGCCGAGTCTGAAGATTGGATTGTCCAACGGTCCATCAACCACCACCTAGACATCGCATCATACGATTCATACGGCATCAAAAGGTCATACACCGTATACACCGTACAACGAAGCAGCAGAACTGCAGATACGGTCTATCCAGACCGGACGGTTCCCTTTGTGCTAAGCCACGTGCTGCAACAATAGAGCTATCATCTCTGCTTCACCGCACAGTGGAGTTTGTAAACGCGCCATCCCGGCATATAGAGATAAGTTAATTTTTTTCTCAGCCTATTTCTTTTTTTTGTAAATATTTTTTTTTTTGTTTGTTTGGTTTTTGATTTGCTAATATTAAGTAATCCCCCTGCAGCGTTGAATTTCCTTTCTTACAAATTATTATTTTTATTATTATCATTCTCATATCATTATCTTATTTAGTTTTTTTTGCACATATTTTATTTTATTTTTATTTTTTTTTTTAACACTGAGCAATTCACTCACAGTGTTGACTTCCTTTTCTTGTTGTTTCCTTTCCAATTTCAATCCATATATTTGAAATTTGTGGAAAATATAAACATTTAATAGCTAAGATTGCAACCAATTCCGTTGCGGTGGTATCTTAAGTCACCGCAATGGATGATACAAATAAAGGCGGGGGTCTGTTGCTTGACATCTCTGATGATGAGTCAATAAAGTCTCCCTCATTTGAAAATCTTGATAGCTCTGAGGAAATGGATACCCTCGAAGAGCACCTTGATCAAACTATCCCCTATCCAAAAGTGAAATCTCTACCACAACCCCCTTCTCCTCCATCGCCGCCTTGTCCACCATCGCCGCCTTGTCCTTCTGTGCCCCCTACTCCACTCCTTCCCCCGAAAATATCAGCGACCCCCCGCCACAAGGCTTACCCTGATGACTCGAAAGGTCCGTGGGTTGTTTTCTTCCGGCCCAAACAAAAACCTTTGAATATTTCTCGGATTTCGAAGGATCTGACAAAACATTTTTCGGCCGTAACCGATATCTTTAAGGTGACGCCAAACAAACTGCGCGTTACCGTTGATAACCTGAAACAGGCAAACCGAATTGTTGCCTGTGAGCTTTTTTCGATCGAATATCGAGTCTACGTCCCCAGTTGTGACGTAGAAATTGAAGGAGTGGTCACCGATTCGAGTCTGACTTGTGAGGATTTCCTGCAAGTCGAATCTTTCGGCATTTTCAAAAACCGTGCCCTCCCGAAAGTCAAGATACTGGACTGCATTCAACTGCAGTCAGTGTCGCACATAGGCACAAACAAAAAGTATACCCTCTCAGATTCGTTTCGTGTGACCTTTTCAGGATCGGCATTACCTGACTACGTCACAATTGGGAAGGTTCGACTACCTGTACGCTTGTTTGTACCGAGGGTAATGAATTGCTTGAAATGCAAACAACTAGGTCACACCGCGGACTTTTGTTCCAACAAACCGCGGTGCGATCAATGTGGGGAGGAGCATACGGAGGGTCCTTGTCATGCTACACCAAAATGCGTTTACTGTAAGGATGCTCCGCATGCTCTGAGTGATTGCCCGAAGTACAAACAGCAGGGAGAAAAACTAAAGCGGTCCTTGCAAGCTCGCTCTAAGCGCTCGTTAGCAGAAATTTTGAAAACGACCGCTTCATCTTCCCAAACCACCCCAAAAAGCAACAACACATTCCACCTCCTGCCAGATGATGATCAGGGCTCTGACTCAGAGGTTGGTGAGAGTAGTCCTTTTGTCTTTAACGGCAACACGAGGAAGCGGTCCAAAACAAACGTCACCCAAAAACCTCGTAAGGCCTCTCGTACGGACTTTCAACCTACCTTGACAAATTTAAGAGGTAGCGGAAATGTAGCAGATATCCCAGTTTTTCAGCCAGAAAAACAGCTGAATAATCAGCAAGAACATGATGCCATGTTCACGTTTTCTGGAATTGTGGAGAGCATCTTCAATATATTCAACGTCTCTGACTCAACTAGGAACATTATTAATTTAGTGCTTCCATTTGTGAAAACTCTTTTGAAGCAACTAGCTTCTAGGTGGTCCTTCCTTGCATCGATCATATCTTTTGATGGATAATTTTCCGAATGAGGTCGGAGATATGATCTCTCTTCTTCAGTGGAACTGTAGAAGTCTTATACCGAAACTTGACGCATTCAAATTTTTAGTTCACAACTCACTTTGTGACGTATTTGCTCTTTGTGAAACATGGCTTTCTTCAGACACCGATCTCCCTTTCCACGATTTTAACATTATTCGCCTTGATCGAGCAGATTCGTATGGAGGGGTGCTTCTAGGGATTAATAAGCTCCATTCCTTTTATAGAATCGATCTGCCTTCCGTGACAGGCATTGAAGTTGTCGCGTGTCAGGTAAATATTCGAGGTAAAAGCCTCAGTATTGCCTCAGTATATTTTCCTCCGAGAACTGCGATTTCTCGCCAAGGTCTCTCAGATATCTGCTCAGTTTTATCTGAGCCTCGGTTGATCTTAGGAGATTTTAACTCTCACGGTACAGGCTGGGGGGAACTGTACGACGACAACCGCTCAACCTTGATATACGACATGTGCGACATCTTCAAAATGACAATTCTGAACACCGGGGAAGCAACACGAGTAGCCAAACCTCCAGCAAGAGTAAGCAGATAAGACCTCTCACTTTGTTCGAGTTCACTATCGTTAGATTGCTCGTGGAAAGTAATCCAAGATCCCTACGGTAGTGATCATCTGCCAATCAAAATTTCTATTACCAATGGTTCATCTTCCACTCGCTCGGTTGACATCGCGTACGACCTCACGAAAAACATCGACTGGAAAAAATTTGCGGCCACGGTTCTCGGTGGTATTGAATCGGTTGAGATACTCCCTCCGCTGGATGAGTACGTCTTTTTATCGCGACTTATCGTTGACTGCGCTCTTCAAGCACAGACGAAACGCGTTCCGGGTGTTTCCATTCGCAAACGACCTCTCACTCCGTGGTGGGATAAGGATTGCACCAACGCGAACAGCGAGAAGTCCGCCGCGTTTAAACGCTTCCGCAAACACGGTAAGGTCGGGGATTTCGAGCGGTACACCGACCTCGAGAAAACTTTCAAGGGCTTGATTAAAGCCAAGAAACGCGGTTACTGGCGTCGGTTCGTCGATGGTTTGTCGCGAGAGACTTCCATGAGAACACTCTGGAATGTCGGCAGGAGAATGCGAAACGCGTCATCACCGGTCAACGAAGACAAGGAGTACTCAGACAGTTGGATATTCAGCTTGGCGCGGAAAGTTTGTCCGGATTCGGTGCCGGTTCAAACCAACGTTCGTGATCGTCCGTCGGGTAATAACGAAATAGATTCTCCGTTTTCGATGGTGGAATTCTCACTTGCGCTCCTCTCATGTAACAACTCAGCTCCAGGAATGGATAGAATCAAGTTTAACTTGCTCAAAAATCTCCCAGACGTCGCGAAGAGACGCTTGTTGAACTTATTCAATCAATTTCTGGAGCACAACATTGTTCCGGATGACTGGAGGCAAGTAAGAGTTATCGCCATTCGAAAACCCGGTAAAACCGCGTCGGATTATAACTCGTACCGTCCCATCGCGATGCTGTCCTGTATACGGAAATTGTTGGAGAAAATGATTCTTTTTCGTCTAGACAAATGGGTCGAGTCGAATGGTTTACTTTCAGATACGCAATTTGGATTTCGGACAGGCAAGGGAACGAGCGACTGTCTTGCGTTGCTTTCAACTGAAATTCAACTGGCCTATGCGCAAAAACAGCAAATGGGTTCAGTTTTCTTGGACATTAAGGGGGCTTTTGATTCTGTTTGTATCGATGTCCTTTCGGATAAACTCCACGATAGTGGGCTTTCACCAATTATGAACAACTATTTGAGCAACTTGTTGTCTGAGAAATATATGAGCTTTTCTCATGGAAACTCGACAACTTCACGAATTAGTTACATGGGTCTCCCCCAGGGCTCATGTTTAAGCCCCCTTCTTTATAATTTTTATGTCAAAGACATTGATGGTTGTCTTGATGAAAATTGCTCGCTAAGGCAGCTTGCAGATGACGGCGTTGTGTCCGTTATAGGGCCAAGTGCACCGGACCTGCAAGGACCATTGCAAGATACCTTAGACAACTTGTCTACTTGGGCTTTGAAGCTGGGTATCGAATTCTCTCCGGAGAAAACTGAGTTGGTTGTTTTTTCTAGGAAGCACCATCCTGCACAGTTACAGCTTCAGCTAATGGGTAAAACAATCACTCAAAGTATTTCTTTTAAGTATTTAGGTGTCTGGTTCGATTCCAAATGCACATGGGGAAAACATATTGCGTATCTGAAACAAAAATGCCAGCAAAGAATTAATTTTCTTCGTACAATTACTGGAACTTGGTGGGGAGCACACCCGGAAGATCTGATCAGGTTGTATCGAACAACCATCTTGTCGGTTCTAGAGTACGGTAGCTTCTGTTTTCAATCCGCGGCGAAAACACATATCCTGAAGCTGCAACGGGTTCAATACCGTTGCCTCCGAATCGCGCTTGGCTGTATGCACTCGACGCATACGATGAGCCTCGAAGTACTCGCGGGTGTTCTCCCACTGACAGATCGTTTCGCGGAACTGTCCTTCCGGTTTCTTATCCGCTGTGAAGTAATGAACCCATTGGTAATAGAAAATTTTGAGAAGCTACTCGACAGAAATCCTCAAACAAGATTCATGAGTTTGTACTATGAGTACATGACGCTGGAGGCTGGTCCTTCTTCATTAATCTCCAATCGTGATTGCTTTCAAGCCTTCTATAGTTCCTCTGTAAATTTTGATCTGACCATGATGCAAGAAATCCATGGAATACCAGATCACCATCGGTCGATGGTTTTTCCCTCAATTTTTGCAATCAAGTACCACCATGTAAGTAACGATAAAAGATTTTTCACAGATGGGTCAACCATAAATGCTTCCACTGGATTTGGTGTATTTAATCAATTTCATAGCGCCTCTTATAAACTGCAGAAACCATGCTCAGTATACGTTGCGGAACTCGCAGCTATATTTTACGCAGTAGAGCGAATTGCCTCACTACCGTCTGACCATTATTTTATTTTTACGGATAGTCTTAGCTCATTGGAGGCTATTCGTTCAATGAGGCCGATGAAGTACTCCTCGTATTTCCTGCCTGAAATACGATCTAAACTGAGTGCTTTATCTAACTGCTCCTATACTATCACCTTAGCTTGGGTCCCATCTCATTGCTCAATTCCGGGTAATGAGAAAGCGGACTCATTGGCTAAGGTGGGCGCTATGGAAGGCGATATTTTTGAGCGACAAATCGCCTTCAACGAATTTTTCTCCATTGCTCGTCAGCAAGTCCTCATCAGTTGGCAACAAAAATGGAATGATGGTGAATTGGGAAGATGGTTACATTCTATTCTCCCACAGGTGTCGAACAAGCCATGGTTCAAAGGGTTGGACATGAGCCGCGACTTTATACGCGTTATATCAAGGCTTATGTCCAATCACTGCTCGTTAGACTCGCATTTCTATCGAATTGGGCTCTCAGGCAGCAATTTATGTACGTGTGGCAGTGGTTATCACGATATCGAGCACGTTGTTTGGTCATGTACCTTACACCGTGTTGCCAGATCTGAGTTATCCATATCCCTCAGGGCCCGAGGAAAACAACCCGCGATACCCGTTAGAGATGTCTTGGCGAGCCGAGACCTCGACTATTTGAATTTAATTTATGTGTTTTTAAAACGGATAGATTTGAGGATTTAGTAGTTAGTGTCATCTTGTGTTCTCCCAAGTTGTTAGTTGCCCATCGGTGTACCCCCATGTTTGTCTTTTTCATCAGAGAGATCAAGAGCACATTGCTCTCCAAACCTTGTGTTCACAATCCCTACCCTGCCATCCATTTGTTACAATTTGTTACCCCTAACCTCGAGATAGCCGCGAGTAATCGGCCTCCGCTTTACTAACGTTAGTTTTAAGTAATTTTGTTATTTAAACAATGAATATCGGCTCCGCAAAGCTACAGCAAATGAGCCTGGAAAAATAAACGAATTATAAAAAAAAAAAAAAAAGTGTAAAATATCATCATAATATTTATGTAACGATTTAATAAAACCGACAATCTTTTTTATTTATAGCAACTGAATATTAGCAACATTAGATTTTGGGTTGTTGAGATATCCGAAAAACTGAGCACAATTACAGAACCAATAAATCTCCCTATAAATAACGTACAGAAGGTGATCCTGACCAGCGAATTGGTATGAGAAACGGCTTCCAAAAATCATTTCCTTCGCTACTCAAGCAAATCAACCAAAATGAAAGCAATTAATCTGATCCAGCGAATATCCGACAAGTAACGACTTAATGCGTAGCAATCAATTTTCTGCTTCATTCCCAAAAGGTCTTCCCACCACGCACTGCGCTGTTTTAAAGATCAAAAATGCAATCACTAACCGAATCGAGATACTTTGGAATCGTCTCGGCAATAAACTTGGATGTCGCTGGTGCCACTTCACTCGGTTTGATGAGAACACAATTTCCCGCTGCTATTGCGGCTGCCACCGGGACCAGGGTCAACTGCAAAGGGTAATTCCATGCGCCAATCACCAGCACCACTCCGTACGGGTCCTTGTAGATGTACACTCCATCCATGATGTTGACCATCGTTTTCCCGGGTTTTTCCGGTTTTACCCATTCCCGAAAGTTATAAATGGTATTGCGAATGTCATTGATGAGGAAATCGATCTCCAAAACGTGTGCCTCCTGTTTGTGTTTTCGCAAGTCGGCTGCAAGTACGTTCACCATTTCTGCCGAGTTCTCCTCATACATGCGCAGCATGTTTTTAAGCTGCTTCTCCCTGCGAGTGGAGGAACGAAGGAAAAATAATTAATGCACACGCCATTACAGCGTAATGGGTTCTCCCATCGAAGGGATCATTAGGCCAAAAGGCATTATAAAACGCAAGCTGAGTATGTAAATTTTGAATGAAACAGCAGACGAGTGAATTCAAATTTAAACCGGCTGGACGTGTGTTTAAATCCCAGCTTTGTTTTTAATTGCTGTTGCTTTTTATCATTTAAGAACACGATTTTTTTCCCCCAACAATTAAAAGAGAATCTCGGACAGACTTACCTGAACTCGACATTGCGCGTCTTTCCACTAGCGAAGGTCGTGTGAAGTTGTTGTACCACCTTTATTCCGGGAAGAGACGTTATGATATTAATAAGTTCTGTTCTTGGCTGTATATTATCCTACTTACGTCTGCATAGCTCATTTTGCCGTCTTGTTTTTTTCCTGTAACGAAAGAGATAAATGGTTTGTTCGTTATGAAATCGAAAGCAGAATAAGTGTATCAGATTGAATCAAAGTGTGTTTCGTTCACGATTTCCAGAGCCTGTGGTTTGAGGGCATAGCTATCGTCCATCAATGCTACGTAAAGGAGTGTGCGTTTGATTAGTATTGTCGCATTAATGGCCCTCCGCTCAAACAACAGCAAACAAAGCAAGCAAGCAAACTGCTGTTCAATTTTCACACTGCCGTACTCTAGCGGAACAATCAATATATACTCTTCAGAACTTTCTCTAGCTAATAAATTAGCGCATTAAAAAGCTTCATGTCGATTTAGGTATAGCATTTGCTCCCAACTCTGAAGTATAACAGTTTTTTTTTGGTTCATGTAAGTTGATCATCGAATGTAGTTGGTATTGAGGTTTACATGCAGGATTGTTACCACTAACTTCGCTTTAAAAAATGTTTCGAAATTTTTGAATTATTGAATGCTCTAATGATATGTTGTACTTGCAAGTTACAATAAGAGGTTGAAAAGTATGTGTTGGACAAAGGAAATGACGCTTTCAGAGATTCATAATACGTGATTTTATGAATCATGAGCGTTCACTCAGAGGGAGCTGTAAAAGAGTAAAAGCTGATGCCGTTAAGTATGTTTGTCATATACATTCTACAACTGCAAAATTGGATCAGAAAATTCAGCTTGTATTTCGATTATTAGAGCCTTCTTGAACATCTAGAATATGATGTTTGTTGGTTTTATAGGTGACAATAGGGGCATCTAAGGGGCCACTTTCCCCATTAATATATTTACAGAACAAAATTAATAATTTTTAAATCCTTTGTTAGCAGAATGGGGTTATCCACATACTAAGTAGCAGCCACTTTAGCGATTTTTTTTAACTTTATTAAAGTGATTTTCAGCCGTACACACTAAGATTATTTTACCGAAATCTGAGAAATTTTACCGAAATCTCAACAGCTGAACGTTCGGTAAACAGTTTGGTGATTTTTCACAGTTTTCCTGTAATTTGTCAACGAATATCTGTGAAAAATCACAGAAAATCTGTGAAAAATCACCGAACTGTTCACTGATCGTTCAGCTGTTGAGATTTCGGTAAAATTTCACAGATTTCAGAAATTTTTAACAACCCGGATAAAGAAAAATTATGACTCAGGGCTTGATGATTTAATAATTCTAGAACTAAACATTTATATCGAGATCTCATGCTTGGACCAATCTTCTTAAGGATCATACAGAAAAAAAGGAAAAAGAACATCTCTATAAGAATTTACGTTTCAAGATTTCCAGAAGACACATAACTCACAAAAATATTCAACATGCCGAACTCCCCAGTTTTACTATCCCTTTTTTCAAAGCATCTTGATTCTGGCTTAAAAAAAAAACAGATTTAGACTCATTTGAAAATAAGAAAACCATGGGCTTTAGACTAGAACAGCTCATAATACATAGAATTGAAAATATTGTGATTCGGTCGAATGACCCATCATAAAAAAAATTCCCATATCAAAACTCAGCTAAGCCTTTGACTCTCATCTGAAAATAACAAAAATCATGAATGTACAAAAAACGATTAAGTTTGTTTCCAATGACCAGCTCATCATCGATCACGCAGTTTGGCAATGTACGGATAATGACGCCGCCAGAGAGCGACAATACAATACCCTTGAGGCCCAAGGAAGACAACCCTTTGTTCATATCAGAGACGTGTTGGGAACTCGCGATTTCTACTATATGCAGTCGGTTTATGTGTTTCTTCAAATGTTTAGTATAAGAATTTAATTCCTTTGTCTTTTGTCTCTCTTTATTAGTTTTTGTTTGTCTTGTCCCCTCGTCTCGATGAGTCTCATCGTCGCCCACTGGTCACCATAGCCGGTCGAACTCCAGACGAAACTAGAACCGCACTACCGTTCATACTGGTGACAACGCTCTGATGAGACAACGAAACCTTACCCCCAAGCTCCTCCCCTGATCCTATCCTTCGACAAAGTACCTCTCTAACCTCGAGTAAGCCGCGAGTATTCGGCCCAACTCCTACTAGACATAGAATTAAGTGAATTTTGTTACAAACAAAGAACAATGAACTATCAGCTCCGTAAAGCTAACGCGATTGAGCCTTCCAAATAAACTAGTTAAAAAAAAGACCAGCTCATGAGAAAAAGAATGGAAAATTTTCATTTAAATATGAATTATGTCTATCATCCATAATGCCTAACGTCGTGCATTCGTGTCAAAAACATACTTTACAACCTCTGCTTGTAACTTACAAGAACAAACTATCCAACACGTCAATTGCGTAAAAAGATATTTTACAGACGGGTCTCGTCTCACTGGATCCACTGGCTTCGTTGCCTTGCTGATTAATGCAATTAACTTCGCATTGGGGACGATTTCAATTATGCCCGGAGACCATTGCTTCATCTTCTTGGATAGTCTCAGTTTGGTTGATGCTATTCGGTCAATGAAACCAGGTAGGCTCTCATCTTGTTTCCTTTGAAAGGTAAGGGAGTAGAAGAGTGTGCTGGTCGAAATATCATATATGATAAGTTTTGTATGGGTCCCCTCACATTGCTCAATTCTAGGCAATGAGAAGGTGATTCTGTCGCAAAGGTGGGCGTGCAGGAAGGCGATTTGTATGACAGGCAAATTTCACAGGATGTATTTTACCATTTAATGCGTCCAGAACCCTGTCGAGTTGGCAAACCGTTACATTCAATTATTCCAAATGTTACTTCGAGAGCGTGGTTTAAAGGTCTATTCACGTGATGAGTAGACTTATGCACAATGACTAGATGCGCATCTCCATAGAATAAACCTGGTGGAGCAACATCTGTCGGTGTGCAAACGGTTACGATGACATCGAGCAGGCAGTTTGGCAATGTACGGATAATGACGCCGCTAGAGAACGCCTTTTGTATACCCTTGAGGCCCAAGGAAGAAAACCCTTTGTTCTAATTAGAGACGTGTTAGGAACTCGCGATCTCTGCTATGTGCAGTTGAGTTGAAAATGTCTAGTGTAAGAATTTAAATCCTTTGTCTTTTGGTTTTCTTTGTTTTGTCCCTTCATATCGATGAGTTTCATCGTCGCCCACTGTTTACCAAACTCGGTCGAAATCCAGACGAAGTTGAATCTAGAACCGCACTACCGTTCATATTGGCGACAACGTTCTGATGAGACAACGAAACCCCACACACAAGCTTCTCCCCTAATCTTATCCCTAGACAATTTACCCCTCTAACCTCGAGAAAGCCGCGAGTATTCGGCCCAACTCCTACTAGACATACACAGCAAAAAATTAATTTTGATGATAGAGTATTGTAATCATCCAAGTTTTCTCAGCAACACAGCCAGGGATGTGTAGTCAGGTCAAGAAATCATTGTTGGAGTTTTGAGCAAATGTATGATCCATGGAGTCGTAGTCAAATACATTAAAATTACATCGACTTCGACATCGCCTTCACTTTTTTTGAAGGCTGTGCTGGTCTTAGTTGCTACTTCGTTACTCCGAGAACCACATACAAGTTTAATTTATCAATTCTATTGTCTTTGGGGAGGGTAATAGTACGTTCAGACTACAGAGTTATAACTATCTTGATGGTGGTTTCTGTGTTGCTATTATTTGAAAACCGTTATAATATGTTATAACTGCTGTCTGGCCAGCGCTTAAGGATGATTAGTTTGACAATCGTTGTTACTAGGGACTGAGAATACTTCTGTATCTCCACAATTTCCACGGGAAGGATAATTTCTATATCAGGATTCACTGTGGTAAGCAATGCGATCAGTGAAAGCAGCAGACTATTTTTCATTTTCGATTGATGAGAGGCGCGTTTTTGGAAAAGTCACAGAACACTTGATGTGGAACATCACAATTGAATGAGGTTTCTTGCTAGAAAAACAAATACCTATGAATGATTAACTGTATCGAAAACGAATACATCATTACTTTTCCATAATAGGTAATAAGCACGCGTGCTATGCACGCTGATAATGTAAAGATTGAAATTTTAATCACGTTATCAGAGGATTGTGTAGAGTTCCAAAGACTGCTAGATTCTTTCGAGGATTGGAGTTAATGAAATCTCTTTTAGTTGGGTGAGGCAAAAAGTAGTACAATTTAATTCTGTAGATAACGGCAACCAATCAACATTATTAACGCTAGCCTATCTGGTTTGATTCTAGAACGGTTTAATTAGGTCAGAGATCTAGGTGTATTTTTAGATTCCAATCTAAATCTGTTTGGTTTCCATACAATAGAATCTGGGTGCCCGTATTGAAGCGGTTCAAAGAAAAATTTTACGCTTTGCTCTCCGGCATCTTCCATGGCGTGATCGTATAAATCTACCGCCGTACGAACATTCCTGTTGGGACACAACAATTTTGAGAAAAGGAGATCCAATTTGAAAGCGGTTTTTGTCGCAAAGGTTGAATGATCGGAAGGGGATGTTCTCGGCTTTGCAGTAGAGAAAATTAATTGTCTCGCTAAAATACTGCAAAGCCAATGATATCCCCTTCCGAACTGTCTACCAGTCGATAGCAATATAAATGGTGGAATGGTCTCTTACGAGAAATCCAGTGTTTTCATTACTGAATTTTATATTTTCGGTATTCGAGTCAGCACTGAAGTCCGTGAGCTCTCGGATTCAAAGTAAAAAAGATCCAATTGACGCAGCTTACCTTATCTATCACTATCACTCTCACTCACTTTAAATCACGCTTTTAGGATTTGGTTAATTGAAAGCCCTAAATGGAAAAGAAAAGAATCAGTTAAGACATGACACAGTGAGCAAAATTCCTATAAGGATGTTTTTCAAAGTAATTTATTGATAACTGCATAAGAATGATTCCGTTGATATCACATCGTTTAACAATGTGGCAAGACGTGGCAGTAAAGCTATCATTCTAGCGCAATGTTATGCATAGTTATGAATTTTAGTCCATTATGAATGAGCAATATACAAAATGCAGCTTGAAACATGTTCA